TTGCGTATCAGTCATGTCCAGAATAGGTATTCAGCTCGAGTAAAGATACAACTTCATGTTGGGTTTGCAGGAGATCCAGCCATAAAACATCAATCATGTCAAAAAGCCATTGACGACCCAAAGACAAAAGTGCCTAATTTGTTGTCAGATCTGGCAACCCTGATTTTGGATATTATAGAAACAAGTCACGCCACCGAACTGAACAATAATTAAGACTTTAAGTTTTGGTTTGGTGATTTTTTCAGTCATGGGCATCGTCGATTTTACTTTGGTATATAGAAGAAAATAAGTCAGTTGTTTTTACTTTTTCTGGATCTGGATTCTCATTTTCCCAATCATGCGAACATTCGACTACACAACAAAAACAAGCGCATATGATCAAAGCAATATTTGATTTGGACCAAAAATTACTATATTTTGTTATAAATTGTGCTGTCATTCAAAAGAACAATTCCATAATGTAATTTCAATAAGCGCATTTATTCGAGATGAATTACTCACTCGCTCTGTTCAAATTATATTTTTTAAATACAAATTTTTTGTTTGTGCATGACAACTATATCAATTGTTCATATTTATATCAAAATTATTTTTCGCCAACAATGTGATATTTCTGTTCAAAATAATATTTATTTGCTCCAAGTAATATTTATTTCTTCGAAATAAATATATTTTCGACAAATGCTATTGTTTCACCCAAACAAATGTCATTCAAATGAACCGATGATTTCAAACAAAGAATTTGATTTGGTTTTAAGAAATAACAATTGTTTCTCGCAAATAACATTTATTTCTTGCAAACAAATATAAGTCAAACAAATAAGATTGTTTCACGCAAAGAAACGTTTTTCTCTGTGTAGTCTTGTTTCAGTATTAGGGTTTTGACGTCACATCATCGCCTCGTTTTCAGAGGTCCGAAAAATCAGGGATTTAAATAATTTTTTATAAAACGTAGGGAGTTCACAGCAAGAAACGGTTTGCGGCGGTGAGCTAGTTTGGGTGAGTTCTATCGAATTATGAAATAAATGTTTTTTGTGATATAAGCCCATTCAATTAAAAACCTAATGATATATAGCTAAGTTCAATCACTCACTTTTGACGATAATAATTTGAAGGTGAAAGAGTAACTATATTGTTTTTCTTTGATGTATAATGACTATAATGATCAAGCCATCCAGCTTTCCTGAGAATTTAAATTCAGGCAACATTTCGAAACATCAATTCACGATTTTGATCAACATTTCATCACAATTTCATCGCACCAGAACGATCAATTTTTCAAAAATGTATTCTGGTCGGTTTTTTATACGAGTGTTTTCATGATGTCTCGTTCTCATTGATGAGGCACCTGATGCCTTACCCTTACCTGCATCTCCTGATGATGATCCGCCAATGTAACAAAATAAATACATCGGAATGATAAATAGATCGTTTATTCGACACGCACAATACCTTCATTACTGGTAAGTATAATTACTCTGGTAGGCAGTATTTGCTTTGAACTCGTCTCGAAACCACGGTTGTTATATGAAGGGGGATCGAAACGTTGATTCTCTCTTTCTCTCTCTCTCTCTATACCTCTCTCCTCTCTCGGCTACTGTATTGTCGTAGGATTTTGAGTGCTCCGCAAACAACGCAGCTTAGTGTATTTGCCAGGCTGTCAGTTGGGTCTGTCGGTGACTAGGTCCTGTATCTACTCATATACTTCCACAAATACTTTTGCTTAGATCAAGATAAGGAAAGTTTGAATACAAAGAACTTCTAGAACTGTCATGATTGATGATGAGTATATTAATTTGAAGATCTCGGTTTACAAATAAAAATTTAAAGAATAGTTTTTATTCAACATACCTAATATACTTATAGGTCATATATTATTAGGTAGTCATATAGTACAGTATGATGCAAATGTATGGAATAAATTCATTTCAAAACAAGACGACTTCCGAAAAAAATCCAAAAACTAGAGTTCAGAACTTTTTTATTGTGTATTTTTTCAACTAGACGACCCTTCGATGTTCAATTCTCAGTAGCAGACCTCTGCAAGATTCAGTTAACCAAATGATAATCCATTTTAATTGCAATATTCTTATGCACAATGTTTACTGTTGGATAGACGATCAGTAGACCTTTCAAACGAGGTGTCACATGACCCCTGCTTGTATTTGAAAAAATCGTCCATTACGTCATTACTTCTACACCAGTGACGTTACATCTCTCATATGAATGTCATGAGATGAGGCTTCAAAAATTAAAACTCACGTGTTTTTGTAATTTTTTCAAATGTCGCCCATTTCTAAAATAATGAATTTATTCCATACATTTGCATCATACTGTATATACATCAGTCATATAATATGAAAGGATTCGTTTGCGAGATACAGGGCGTTACCGATATCAAAATTTAGCCCGTTAATATAATATAATATACTCACGTGACTGTTATTCAGGGTGTTTGGTTCATGCACCGACGTATATACGGAAGGAGGTGGTAGGTTATGTGATTTTTACCAATTTGACCATATATACTATTATACAAAGTGTTACACTTTTCGAGAAATCATAGCATATAAATTCAAAATTGGATGTTACAAAAATCGTTTTTTGAATTCTAACGAGCCAAAAAATGTTTTCATCACATTAGATCCCGCATTTCATGTTCAGTATCGATGAAATGCGTATTCAACTTTCCAAGAAAAAAGAGATTTAATCAGATAAAATGTTTGAAAGACCGATGATACACCGAGAAAAGTCCAGTTATACATGTCTCTATTTAAAAACTTCTTATAACCGCCAAATGAAACATTTTAACCACGAAATGTCATCTGATGAACGTGAAAAGTTCACGTTTTCAACGTGAAACAGGTCACCCTTTCAAATCACTCTTTTTGTTTCAAAAAGGTTATCTTTTAGATTCGAAATGAGACAAGATTATAGTTAAAAGATGGAAATTTGAAGATAATCATTTAAATCCTAAAAGATGTCATTTTCTTATTTCCGGAGGTGGTGTGGTGTATATATTTTCCATGCAGTAAAAGGTTTTTTAAAAAACTTGATACCAAATACCCATCCATGATTTTCAGCACAGAATCACCCCTCAATGTTTTTCGGTGTTATTTAGATACACCCTGTATAAATAACTGAGTATCACAAGTGACAACCCAATTATGCTTCGCTCTTATTTTAAAAGAAAATCTTCTTGGTGTGGATTTTATATCGTGCTCACTGTATAGTGTATAGCTCAGTGTTCAGTTCAGTTGTCCGTTCTCCCTTATTGTTATAATAGAAATAGAAAGCCATCTTGACACCTCTCATACATCTCTTGTTTATACAAGAGTGTCCCTGTGCCCCTACTTGAATATACCATTCTAAAATTGATGCATCGAGGGGACATTTACAGAACAAATATTTATTTTTGCCTATCCTGCGAATCATATATTTGCAGATAAAATGAATTTCGGAATATGCATGCAGAAGCTGATGTTTATTTTAGTATCACAATCGGTCATCAGACTTGTCAATATAGGTTTTACCAGGTGATTATAAAATAAATAAGTATATGTTCGTAGAGGCATGTAGAGGTATGGAAGAATCCAGAAATCGTGATGAAAGTAGAAAAATAGATTTCTAGAACACTTTTTGTGTAAAAAATATATTCCTGGTAGAGGTCGCTGCGAGCAACTGTGTTCAATGAAAAATACTAAAAATAGGAATCGGGTGTTATTACAATTTAATACTAATAATGATAATAGTGATTAAGAACAAATTGATACTGAAACAGTTATAGTTGAAAGAGCTTTTGGATCACAAGTACAGAAGACAACAAACTTCACTGTCACAAGAACGGATTGAAATAACATGACAAGTACTCATTTGATTGTTCTTTTTTTGAATTGGAAGAGTTCAAAAAAGTAGGTAAGTATACAATTAAAGAAGTATAAGAATCATATTTTGCCTATACATTTCAATGTTGAATGAAGGAGAATATTGAATGAAAGAAGAAAAATGCACATGGCGTAACTTTTCTGATATATACCTATACCTATATTCACTATATTAGAGGCGACTCACTAGCCACACGGAAATAATTCAAATGCATCGATTATTTCGAATCCCAATAACTCTAAAACCATCAGTTGCTCGCAGCGACCTTTACCAGGAATATAGGTATTTTTTACATAAAAGTGTTCTAGAAATCTATTTTTCTACTATGAAACGTTATATAGGTACAGGTATACGCACAAAAAAGTAATGACTTTTCAAAAGACTCAAAAGACATGTAGGTGGCGCCACCCCCACGAAAGAGACAAAATTAACATAAAATTTGATAATGTCATCCAAAAATACCCCTATAGATACCTACCAAATTTTATTCCAATATCACAATTATTTTGGAGTTTATTAACAAAAAACCAAAATGAGAGCTCAACTTTGACACTCTGATGTGCATCGCCGAAACGAATAACTTTCGGACATAGGTATATTCATACAAACTTTTCTTCTTATTTTGACGTCAGCAACATGCTCCTGAATTTTCTACACCTACTAAAGAAACACCCTGTATCTATATCTAATTGATTACATACCAATACCTAAACAATTTTTTTTGCACCATGTTAAATGAAAAGTGAGGATATATTCGTCGAAATATCTGTGGGTAGGTACCTACCTAATGTCAAGCATAAATTGGAATCACATGCATCACTCTTTTACTATAGGTATCTATTATTGTAATAATAATATCATCAATATTAGTTTGTTACAATTCAGACATAATCAGCCACAGAACTGCAAACTACCTATATTAGGATAAGCATCTAAACTTTTCTGCATATAATATTATAATATTAATTGATGCTGAATCATATATGTAGAGCAAAAATAGCACTGGGCCCAGCATTGGCCCTTGAGGTATACCTACTCCGCACTGAATTTCCTTTCAAATTCATCAGAATTTTGTTTTGGGAGCATTGCTCACCTAACCGTTTCCCTCTGTCCAGTTTCCAGGTTGATGGGCAGCTCGGCCGCCTCGGCCAACATGGCCCACCACGGCCTCAACTCGGCCATGCCCGGCCTGGGCGCGTGCGCGATGCCCGACTCGAAGCCGATGCAGTTCCCGTTGGCGCAACGGCGCAAGAGGCGGGTGCTGTTCACGCAGGCGCAGGTGAGTGGGGAGTCGGAGGCCCCGCCCCGCCGGACACGCCCACTAGATAGCAAGGTCGGCGTGTCGCGGCGGAATCTGTGGCGGAATGATAGGGATTGCGCGGCCGTCGGAACGGCGACTTTTTGTTGATCTGTGGCGGGGTGTTGGAAGTGTTTGATGGGAGTTCGGGTGGAAGTTTAGTGTAGGTAGGAAGCGGGTGATTGATCGAGTCTGTATGTATGTATACCTAGCCGGCAAAAACATTTTGCCACATTAATCGCTTTTTTTCAATTTTTTTTCGATATCTACTGGCGCGAAATTTATACCAAATCGAGGACTCATTCTTCTGAATCTCAGCCTGAATTTTAGTTATCAAGAAAAGCTGATGATGGCTTGATTATGCAACAGATGAGAAAAAACAAAATATAGATAAACTTATTCTTTAATACTTCAGAGCGTTATATATAGTGTTTTCATGATAAATCGGTTATGTATCGGAAATTCTTCCAATTTGGATAATATTTTTAAATTATCTCACTATTCATATATATTCAATTGAAAGTTCTTTATAACGGGTGAAAAATAGTGTATTATCAATATATTATTCTCTCTAATTCGTTTCCAAGAGTATTTCGAAAGATTTTTATGTGCATGGATGGATGTAATTATTCTCTTTGATAGTTATGATTATGGGTTGTGATCGAGCGAGGTTTTGAAAAACTGATGGTTAGAAGTGTGCAAAAACTGGGATTGACCGAGACATTTAGGAGTGATATTTTGATTTGAAATGTTGGAGTTATTTAATTTTCAACCACTTATCTTAACGTAAGGCATATTCAATTTTTTTTGTTCATTATTGAACTTGTTTTTTCTAAAGTTCAATTTTCTCATTTCCTACCATATACAGAGTTTAGTTCAGGGCAGTTCTTCTCCAACTTCATGACAGCATTTATATTTTTGTTGCACCAATTTATCTTTGCCTATAGGTACGCTATATATATATAAGTACACTGATAAAAATACCCGATTGGTGACAAAAGAATGATGCTTTTAGATTCTTTTCTCTCCTGACAAAGACAATTTCTTCCTTTCAAATACATTGCTCTCATCTGCAGATTATTGCTGTTTTTGTAATAAGGTTTCGAATCTTTTGGCTGTAAACGCTTTTGAGAGAACATCATCGACCTTGTCTCTAGTCCTGCTTGGTTTGCATCTACCTCAAGATCACAAGACTTTGATACAAGATCTGAAATCGTTCGGTTGAGACCGTTGATGAGATCGAGTCCACCCGAGCTTAACCGAAAACATACCGACTCCGTTTGAGTCATGCGCAATGCATGGGTCGACCCCATCTTTCCATCATCCTTCTTCTTCTGCATCGTGCCGAGTACCGTCCCGTTGCCAATGCATTTTAGCGGCCATATCTGTCGTGTTGCGTTGTGCTGTGGATCATGAGCGATTCCGTGGAGTTTGAAAAACTTCTAGATGCGTGGCGTTTGAGCCATATGATGCAAACATTTCAAGGTAAGTACCCACCTATACTTATTTCAGTAGATAGGTATTTCATCATCATATAAAATGTTTCATGTGTTATTTTATAAAATAAATGAGTTTGTTATCAATGGTTGTTTTTTCAGGATTTCCACAATTCTTCGCCCAAGGATAAATAAGAAGCTAAAACAAGTTGATGGGAACATCAGAACTAAATCTAATATCAACAAACCAATAATGGGGTTTTGTTAAGGATTCATAATAAAATGATCCTCAAAATTTTTATAGAAATCAATTGAAATTCTAATTATTATTTCAACATTTTACAGGAGTCTCCTCTCAAGAAATCTCCAGAGAATTTGCATCAAGATCATATACATTTTGTTCCAAGATATTGGATCAAACATTCGCTGTATTTACATCGAAGCCCTATATTTCAATACAATAATACCATATCTTTCATCTTGAATCTCATAACTTTGAAATAATATCTCAATGATTTCGACCAAAAATCATTATTCATTATGATAAGTTCAGGGTATATTGCTATAAACTCATATATCATTGGGCTAAAGAAATCATGGCACTTACCTCAACATTCCCCATAAGTTGGGAAAACTACGATTTTAAGCCAAAATCATTAGTTATTAGGGCAAAACCAAAGTTCCTTGTCTCGAATTTATATAATTTCATGCTGAAGAAACTTAGGCGCTTGCCTCAAAGTTTTTGGAATATTGGGTCGAAATGTCCATGCATTCCGCCCTATTCAAATGCTTGGCGCCCTTGAGGTAAAGGCAAATTCCTTCAATCCAAGGAATCCTTTTTATCAGTGTATGAGATCGATAATCAAAAATTCTTCATCAAATGATTACATAAAATAAATAAAAAAAAGATCTTTCGGTATAAAACCTCTGTATGGAATAATGATTAATTACTCTATATATAGTTGATTCAAGTTGATAATCGAATATTTTTTTACCAAATCATTGTCCAGAATAGAAAAAATCTAATATGGCACATTCAATTTCCGAAGCTTATATTCAGTGGAAAGTTCATCATGAGGAAAAAATGATCGGAAATGAATATATACCGGGTGGCTACGGAAGTATTGCCTATATGGAATATCTCAGTTATTGTATGAAGTATATAGGTTTGTGAAATTTGGAGCGTCGATATAATGACATAAGAGCTAGAATTTTAGCATATTGACATGTCGAAGTCGAAGTTAACTTACGGTCTGACCGGAAGTAACATCAACTTTCTTATTTTAAATGGAAACCCTATTTTTTTTTCTTTTCGCTTAATTCAGCATTCAATTCCTTTTCTAATGACATATATCACAAGTTGGTATCTAACCAGAAACTAGATCAGAAATAGTTATTTATTAGGTATACAAGGGAAAAAAGTAGTAGATTTTAGCTCCAGGTTGTGTTGTCTCCCGACGCGTAGCGGAGGGAGACAAAAAACCGTGAGCTAAAATCTAATATTTTTCCCGTGTACAGGGTGGCCAACTAAGAATCCAGAGTTCGATACCTCTGTTGTCTTGAGAGATACAAAAAAAAGTTTTGCATTCAAATCGAAGTGATAACCGAGCTTCACATTTCGAAATTTCTTTGAAATACACAGGGTGTTCCGTAAGGTCACAGCACATCAAAGCTATGTTTTTTTCATTCGAACACCCTATATTTTATTTTATTTTTGAATTCTTCCTGACGATCTGATTTCAACGACGTATCATACTCAGGGTCTAGCAGTGAAAGTTACTGACATATAGGGTGTGCAAAATCGAGATTTTCCAAGTTCAGGATTTTCTTCTGTCGAAACTGTTCATTATTCGTCAAAACGGTTTACATGTCCCTATGTCAACTTTTCACTCACTATCAATTGGTGTTCAATTGACTTTTAATTGAAACAAATTATAAATTTAGATTTTTTGACCACCTTGTATCAATTTCAATTGAACACCAATTGATAGTGAGTGAAAAGTTGAGATAGGGACATGTAAACCGTTTTGACGAATAATGAACAGTTTCGACAGAAAAAAATCCTGAACTTGGAAAATCTCGATTTTGCACACCCTATATGTCAGTAACTTCCACTGCTAGACCCTAAGTATGATACGTCGTTGAAATCAGATCCTCAGGGAGAATTCAGAAATGAAATAAAATATAGGGTGTTCCGATGAAAAAAACATAGCTTTGATGTGCTGTGACCTTACGGAACACCCTGTGTGTTTCAAAGAAATTTCGAAATGTGAAGCTCGGTTATTACTTCAATTTTGATTCATGAATTTTTTTTGTATATCTCAAGACAACAGAGAAATCGAACTCTGGAGTCTTAGTTGGCCACCCTGTATAATACACTATTTTTTTCTGTGACAGAAGGAAGGAGGAATCAATATTGAGAAGATATTACATTATTTCGAAATCTGAAAATTATCAACGTGAAATTTCAAGTTTTTAACAGTAGGGACACCTGCGTTTTATAGACATCTTTATCATTATTTTGAAGTAATCAAATATCTGATGTCACTTCTGTCAGTTCAATTCTGTGATTTGATTTTGAAAAATTGCGAATTCAGTAGTTGTTTAAGAATATACGAAACCGTGAAGTCGAATGGAAGATAAAAGGACTTCTTTCTCGGAGACTTCTTTCTCGGAGACGGTATTATTGACTCATTTTTCGGAACTATAGCACAACAAAAGCCATTAACAGAGTATATATATGTGATATATATCCGGGAAAAAAGTACTCACTTTTTTCCCACGGGAAAAAAGTAATTTATGAAAAGTGACATTTTATAACCTGCCAATAGAGATGAAATGCCAAACTTTTTTCCCGTCACAGAAAAAAAAATATGTTTTTTTGTTATTTGAAGAATAATAATTGGATTTTTTGGTATTTCATTTCAAAAAATGACTTTCTATTATATCATTAGAAAGGAATGATTATGCTGAATAGTACAGGCAAGAAAAAGTTGTATGTTCCTATATTTAAGTTATGGACCTACAGAGTATTGTTTGTTTCCCAATTTTTCCAATATTTTTTTTTGGCGGCGTTTTATATAACGCCGACGAATGAAAATAAAATATCACAGTAGTAGCGACTGTTATCAAGTACGTATGGTTTCCATAACCAACTTTTCAATTTTTGGCTTTCATTTTGCTTCCACGGCCTATACTCAGTGAATTTCAATAATAATTTTTTTCTGATCTATAGTTTCTGATTAGATACCAACTTGTGGTATGTCATTAGAAAGGGAATTGGATGCTGAATAAAGCGAAAAGAAAAAAAAATAGGGTTTCCATTTAAAATAAGAAAGTTGATGTTCATTCTGGTGAGACCGGAAGTTAACTTCGACATGTCAATATGCTAAAATTTTAGCTCTTATATGTCATTATATCGATGCTCCAAATTTCACAAACCTATACTTCATACAATAACTGATGAGATATTCCGTGAGCAATACTTCCGTAGCCACCCGGTATATTGAAATAGTGAAATTTTTCAAACATTAATGTTCGGAAAATTTCTGCCCTGAACTAAACTGTGTAGATGGTATAGAAAATGAGAAAATTGAATATGCCTTCGCGCGTTAAGATAAGTGGTTGAAAATTAAATAACTCCAACATTTCAAATCAAAATATCACTCCTAAATGTCTCGGTCAATCCCAGTTTTTGCACACTTCTAACCATCAGTTTTTCAAAACCTCGCTCGATCACAATAACTCAGAATCATAACTATCAACCGTAGAAATGCACGCGAAGCACGAGTTTATCCGACCGACTAGGCCGACCATCAAAGTCTGATAACTGACGAGGGGGTGTGAATGTGTCGGAAAAATTCTTGTTCGTAATATGTACTCGAGGACATTCGTCAACGATCGTCATTAAATTTTCCTATGATGGTAATTCGATAACAAGTAATGGTAATATGATTAAAATTCACTCGTCTGCGTTAATTATCATAGGTTTAGACATTAATTGTCATTACAAGAAGTCCAATGAAGTTAATTGAAGTACTCCCAAAAAACGTCTCTATATATAGTTATGGTAATTAGTCCTTGGTGCTATTTTTATACGTAACATGAGTGGATACTGGATATGATTAGAAATTGAATTACAGTCATCAACTCAGACATAACAAGAAAATTTAATGAGTGCTTTTTCCTCTCAGTGCACTTCAATTCAAAACATATAACAGAAGAAACTCTGATGATGTATAAATTGTCTAATGATCAAGCCATCCGCTTTTATTGGGAACTATAAAATTCAGGTTAACATCATTTCGAAACACGAATTCACGATTTGGTCAAAATTTCATCATAATCGGACAAGAATCAAAAAAGTTACAGGGCGATAAATTTATTTCTGGCCGGTTTTCATGCTGCGGGGAGCGCGTGGTGTATGTATTGTGTGCATGGTTTTTGCTGCGTTTCGAAATGTTGCAGTTATTATCAGCCACACACAGCATCGAAATGGATCAAAATGATGAGATCTATCACTTATTTCAGTTTGTACCTTAAAACCTGAATCACCCTGTAAACATAATATTCCCAAAATCAGGATTTCTGCATGCCAATATCGAAAATTTTTTTTGTGTTTCATCGTGTCATTACCTATCTCCATAGGTATAATATACAAGACCTGACACAACCTGATGTATAATTATATCATACTTCATATAAAATATATTGTTTGATTTCCAGGTATATGAATTGGAGAGAAGATTCAAGCAACAAAAATACCTATCAGCTCCTGAGAGAGAACACCTGGCATCTTTAATACACCTCACCCCCACCCAAGTAAGTGAAAAAAATGAGAAATATATACTTAGGTATACCTAAGTATATATTTAAACCGAGATTTAAACATTACATCGCGATTAGAACCTGATGATGATGTGCGCCAATCATTCCTATATAGATACATACTATCTTTCAGCAAAATGTTGGCAAAATGCCACTTGTCTGTGAATTTGCACAAAATCTCGTGATTTTGTTTTATCTCTTGGAGCGCACGAAAGGAAATTCCAATAATGTTCGTGGAAGATCGTGATCACGAGATGATGAGAATTATGCCATCCGCCGTTACCAATTGAATGGTATTGATACCTATATATACTTAGATCTCAAAACCCATGCACAGCGATCATTACGTAAAGAAAGAAAAGTAATGTATGAGTATATATATAATATGTATAGGTATAAGTAAGATTCTATTCCTGAGACAAATATTCATTTCATTCCATCAGTAAGATATATTGACAAACTTATATAGCAAGAAAATATATTGTTGGTTTTTGAACATTCACTTGGCCATATCCAAGATCACAATGTCTTCGAATAAAAAGATCGTTTTTCTCAGTGTAGGTATATTTTTTAATCATGCATGTTTCAAGCCATCATATACAGGGTGATTCACATAACAACCGACATATAGCAGGGGCATGTAGGGGGTCCCAAAATATGGTAATTAAACGCAACTTACCTCTATACCAAGTTGCTTCCCTAAGGAGTTATATAGGTAGGCATAGCACTAACAGCATGTCAACTTGCTCGTTAAAAGAAAACTTCCCGTTCATTTTAAAAACACTCGAACAACAATTACTTAATTGAACAACTCACTTGCCTCATTGTCAAGTCTGACGTTTTAGTTCAGTCATTGGGGATCCAAAATAAGGCTTACCTGGAAAAAAGTCCGGAAGTTTTGAAACTTTGTAGGATTATAGTTTTGGGTGTCCAGAACTAAAATTCACAAAATGCACATTCCGGGACATGCCGCCGGCGCCGCCATCTTGCCAAGATGGCGCTCAAAAACGGTTTTTTGAAAATATCTCCAAAACGGTGCGTTTTTAGAAAAAATATGAAGACATAAAAATTTGAGATGAAGAAATTTTCTACAAGAAATGTTTCGAGCATATTTCTGCTAAAGAGAGCCGTTTAGGCTCAAGAGCTGATTGAATGACAACATATTCTGTTAATTTCAATAAACTGCCCCAAACTATCTCCATATATGCGTATAAATTCATATTTTATAATGAAACGGGCTATTCAATTTGTCCCTCGTTATATTGGACGATTTTTAGATCAATTATGCGACAAAAATTTTGCATTTGTGACTTGCGATTATTTGGGCGATATAAAAATTGCATTATCGACGAATCTGGCGACTTTGCTCCAGAAGTATGTGGGTGCAGCATGGTTATGAGTAGATTTCGTACCTATACTATGTATCCGTAGATATAGGTACCTTCTCGTACTGTAAAACCGCCCATAAGTTCATAGAAATTTGAAATTTTGCTTTCTTGTCTTTACCACTCCATCCCAATATGAGTAAATACACAAAATATATATTCCAGGTGAGATATTTTTATTAACGGTAAAAACACAAGAACTTTTTCATCATCTAAATTACCTTTCCTAACGAACACAATTTGCCAATCAGTAATTTCACGAGAAAAACGGACGTGAAAAAATTGCGAGACCGTATTTAACCAAGGAAAAATGAAGTTTCTAACAACATTAGAAAAACATAAAGAGTTTCAAGATCATATTAAAGTTTTTAAAAATGAACATGCCACCCCTGATCAAGTTGCCTTTGCCGGTGAGAAATTTTTCCTTGCACTCTATGGATTCAAAGACACAAATTACACCAATCTTGATAAATATCGATACCAGTGTTTCGTGAAGTCGGTAACAAAAAGTAAATTCAATTTGGCATCTTTACCACCGACAAGCGCAGCTGCACGACAGCATTCGTTGAGAACGTACTATCAGGTTCAACTATGGCGTGGTTGTCCGGAAGTAGTTGAAGAATGGGGTTGGAAGAAAACACAAACTGATGGCCTCACTCCAATAACTACTTTGAAAGATCCTGCTTCCAAAGCACTACTTGCTTTTTTATCTTGTGAGTGCAAGGCGGCTTGTGGTAGAGCCTGCGGATGCAGGAAAGCAGGATTGCGATGTTCGATGATTTGCGGTGTCTGCAACGGGAAAACTTGTGAAAATATCAGCCAAGTGACACTGGACGAATCCGATGAAGAAGACCTCCATTCGCTGCATGATGATTCTTTATCGACTGCAGAAGAAGAATCCGACGAGTTGAAGGAAATTAACATCGATTCTGGAGCTGAGGTAACCAGTTTCCCCGTTGAATATATCGAAATCAACGAGCCTAGTCCGTCTGGTCTTTGCCAAAAATAATTTCAGTACCTGAGTGGATTAAGACTACAGGGGAAACCACGTTAAAAAAAACGCGCCGTGTACTTAGCCTCTTGGGTGGTGTGGAGACAAGTACAGCATTTAAAATCGAAATTGATTGATCATAAATTATTAACATGGATTAATTGATGAATTCATCGATTAATTGAATGATGGATATCCACCGTTTCGTGATAAATATTTTTAAAGTTGTTAAATATCAGATTTGGGGACCCCTAATACACATATTATTTCCGAAACTCGCCACTACAGAAATCTTACGCAACATTTGTAATTTGATAAGGAGGGTACTTTAGCGAGAATATTTTAGGAACATATTTTATAGGAAATATCCTCCGTCAGCAAGCTATGAATATAACGAGAAACCAATTAGATAGCCCGTTTCATTATAAAAGATAAATTTATACGCATATTTGGAGATAGTTAGGGGCAGTTTATTGAAATTAACAGAATATGATGTCATTCAATCAGCTCTTGGGCCTAAACGGCTCACTTCAGCAAAAATATACTGAGAACATTTCTTGTAGAAAATTTCTTCATCTTAAATTTTTATGTCTTCATATTTTTTCTAAAAACGCACCGTTTTGGAGATATTTTCAAAAAACCGTTTTTGAGCGCCATCTTGGCAAGATGGCGGCGCCGGCGGCATGTCCCGGAATGTGCATTTTGTGAATTTTAGTTCTGGACACCCAAAACTATAATCCTACAAAGTTTCAAAACTTCCGGACTTTTTTCCAGGTAAAAATCCCCAATGACTGGCCTATTTATTTTCATAGCCAACTTTTGAATTTTCGATGATCTTAAATAACACACTTAGAGCGCGCGTTTTCAGTTATTCGAGTTCTGATGAAAATGATGAGGTTTTTTGAAAAATTACTAGAGTAAGAAAGGTTTAAGAATTGAATTGCCCACAAAACAAAGCGAAACTTTTTGAAATCCATCAAGTGTTAACAAAATTATGTTGAATATTAATGGTGCGCCACCCGGTATACCCCCTTTACAGCTTTCAATTGAACTCTAGTTACTGACAAGTAACGCCCTAAATACATCCACAAAGTGTACCAGATTTGGTTGCTTTAAGCTCAAGAATAACGGAGATATTGATTTTTTTCAAAATTTATAACTTCACTTTCAGAGCCTATATCTCCTCAGGGAAGCAACTTGGTATAGAGGTAAGTTGCGTTAAATTGCCATACTTTGGGACCCCCTACATGCCCCTGCTCTATGTCGGTTCTTATGTGAATTACCCTGTATATTAAGATTCTTGCAATCGGACCCAAACGCACTATCACTGCCCCACCCTGTATATCTGATTGATGATCAAATCACCGAAAAAAATCATAACAACCATCGTATATATGCGGTCTGAAAACGAAAATGATGTGGGCGCAATGTGCATACGCTCCGTTGGCCCCATTCAACGCGATTTCTACGCGGTCCCGACAAGTGCCAGCCAGGGCTTTTGTGAGATCGTGAGATGCCCGGTGGGGCCCCATGTCGATTGTGGTCCCTTTTATACGCACTCTTGATGAGAACGGAATACACTTTTGCTTCGTAATTGGGAAGGAATTCGAATTTGTGATGATGTTTGTGATATGATGCGTGAATGCGTGGATGGAAGCATATACACACACCATCAGCTCACATCAAGAAATATTCAGCAAAATATTGCCACAATATTACAATGATGTGTTGCTTTTGCGCGATTTTTCAGAAATGTTGCAGAAATGTCGTATTTGTATCCTTTTGGAGATTATGTCACTTGAAAGAACATAAGTGAAATTCCATATACCCTCTATAGCATTGATTAAAGAACCTCTATAGTATATAATTATCATTATCAGACTATATGAAAAAACCTTGATGAAGAATACTTTTGTCGCGCCATCTCGTATATAGCTTGCGGAATACGAGTTATAACGATGTTCAGTACGCTGCTGTCTGTGACAGTTTTATTTTTTTTGTCAATTTTTGATCGTTAAACAATTTACGCATATCAGTGCATTTCCCATTGAATAACGTCTCCATAGTTGAGATTACTGATGTAAATTCATATATTTATCATGAAATTCAATCTATTTGAATTACATTATGAGGTGAAGATGATGTGAAAAATCAAACTATTATTTTGGGGTTAGATAGAAATTATGGTTTCAATTGAATTTATCCAATTGATGCGGGAACAGTGCATGGCCTGCACTGATGGTTTTTAAATATAAAAGAGTGGCTAATATATAGGTACTGTTTCCCTATATTTTCGTTCAAGAACTTTATTCATATAATGCAAGAGAAAAACAACATATATATCAGTATCACATGTAAGTTCAGTGATGCAGTATCTGGATAAAGGTTTATCCAAAGCAGCACCTATGAGTGCTGGTCTCGGAAATAGAAAAACAATTTCAACATATGATACATTTACAATTTCAAATTGATTGTGGATTGAATATCAGTAAGTACTCATAAAAACAAATCAACATAACTCTTCCTATAATATGTTAGCAACAAAAAAAAAATCAATTTTTTATTGCAAAAGGTGCGATCATGCCTCGACCAAAACCAAAAAATCCTGGTTCAATTGG